TAAAAAAAAAAAAAATTTTTTTTGTCGCATGTCTCCAGAAAACCTGGTTTTTCAGAGACTTCCCGACCTTGGATGGTTCTAGTTTTTATAGCACACCTAAAGGGGACCTTGATACACCTTTATATTAAAAAAAATAAAAAATAAAAAAAAAAAATTTTAGTCTTGGGAAAGGGGGGGCCCTTAAAGCTGCGTGGATACTACATGTTTACAAGATTTCTCTGAGGAATGGCATAGTTCCCATCAAAAACACCAAGAAAAACGATTTTCGAATTTCTACTTGACACTTTCCAACGAGACACGCTTTAATGAGAATAGTTTCTTGTGAAGCATTCAGATCTTTTTGTTGTTCCTATCCTAAAATACAACTATGGTAAAAGTATGTTTTCTGAATCACTCGTGTATATCAGGCAGTTTCGATGCTCTTACTAAGATAGGGGTAAATACTTTCATCTCGGTACTTTTCGTTCATGAATACTTTGCCCGAGCCTTTGCTTCAGTATTCCACTGAGCACTGATAACTAATCGGTGAACGTCAATATCAATATACTCACAGCGTCAGTGAACCGATATCAGTGTTGTCAGTGTTACAATACGCTCACTGTCAGTTTTTTCGTATTTGCACTGAAACTGCACATCCATAGTTAAATAGGTAAAGATAAAAGTCCAAACTGGATAAATAAAGAAAACCGAAAGATTAACCTTACTTTATGTAAGATTAAGCTTTCATATATGAGAGAGACACAGTATTTCAATTAAATGACAACTATGGTGAATACAATGACAATCGATTTGTTCAATATCTTTTAAAGAATTTATTCAAGAATAATATTCATTAAAACGATGACGAGATTCTAAACAAAAGAAAGAATTATCGTTCATCTTTGAATAAAATTGAAAACAAAATAAACGATGAATAAATTGAATAATTGAAATAAATTTTCGTGTACATGACTCATTTAAGAACTAGTCCAATGAAATGTTATGTCTTTAAAAATAAAATCTAACTGATTTAAATCTTTTATTGTTTTCTAGTAATAAATTCTCATATAGTAAAGTTTCTTTCATTTCAACTACATTAGTTAAAATTATTTATTAGAATAGATTATTTCCAATGTTTATATTAGACAGAAAATAATTTAAATATTAAATATTTGATTAAGAGAAATGTTAACAAGATCTTGTTTACATGCTACAATTGTAGGTCATTTAAGCAAGCGACATTTCATAAAAGACATCCAAAAAAATATGATAGAAGGGAATTAGCAAAAACTAGATAGTTTTCCACAGAGATAAGAGAAGAAATTAACCATACATGACAAGTTCGATTAGTTATTATCAATTTTTTCGTATCATTCACAAATTTTGCTCTTAAGCTGGTTTAACAGTATTTTTTAAGCATTTCAAACTGGGATTCTACGACGCCTTATTCATAAATAAACGAAGTATATCAATCGTAGAATGTATGTTTCTCTCGAATCGGACAAGATTCGAAACTATACCACACGACTCAATTGTTACTAAAGAGTGACTCTTCGAAAATGTCGAAATCTAGTAAGAATAGATTCTATTAACATCTTTGAAGATCTTATTGGTAATTTTAGGAATTGATAGAATTCAACAGACATATATTTCATCTGAGGACATGTTGCATTTGTTCTCCTGATACACTTAGTTAATGAAATGTGATGCAAGAGAAAAATGAAAATGGTTCAGTTGATCAATTAAGACCTTTCTCAAAAAAATCTATTGCACATCGGACGTTCACAGAACGTAAATGGTGGTCAGACTAAATTAAAGAAGTTTCAACTCTAGATAGGAGAGATTAAGAAAAATATATCTTTGACATGACATCGGATTTGAATATTCCCTAAGAGAGATAAATTCTCTATGAGTAAATGAATATCCTCACGGATTATGAATATATTCAATATTTGATAAGTATTTCTTGGTTGTTTCTGCTATAATTTATTTAATTTTTCAGTAAAAACAGGAAATTAACGTAGAAGTGAATTTTATTTTGTTGAATAATCATCAAATGTAAAATTTAGTTGTGAATGTTTTGATAAAAACCACTGAAGACTAAATTGATTATCATTAAAAGTTTGGTCTTCATCAAAAAAAAATCTAACTTCAACAGAGTACATGATATATTAATAATACTTTGTATACATGTTAATAAGGCTTTTATATGGACAAAATTTTTATCGTTTTGATTCAAGCTGCAAAGCTTGGTTTGCTATTATTTGAAAGAAAACTCATTACTACTTCCAATGAGGACAAAAAGGTATTTCAATTGTTACTTTGTTTCATTTATTGAATCATCGAAATTTACAAAGTCTGGAAATTTTTGATATAGTTTTCTGGAAATTGCGTGGTTTCTCTAGTATTGATAATTAATTGAACATTCTTTTTTCTCATCGAAAGGACTATGTATATGTCTATCAATAAAACAGAAAATATACCTCCATGGAATGAACTATATTGAGCAAAAAATTTGTCCTCAGGTTCATTCATTACTGGAAAAAAAACAATTCTGAGAAGTATGCAAATAAGTTTTTCTTTTTCTGTTATAACTTGAAATGAAGATGAGGTATAAATATACTACATGTTAATCAAAGTACTTATCAATGTACTTTAGACTGTCCTCATATAAGGCCTTGATTATTGATTATTTCTTTTTTTTTTTGTAAAAAGCGTTTGATGAACGTGCTGCTTTATTACACTTTTTCTTCGATAACTTCTTTCAAAACTCAAAAGTAAACTTTTAAGATGTCCTGAGAGCAAGAGAAGACTACAAAGTTTTGTTGAAACATTCAATAAATATTTGATATTTTGAGAAGAAAAACCTGGATAAGCAAATCATCCTAGCCTTTTTCAACGTTCGACAGTAATCATCGAATGAATATAGTCGAAAGACAGAAACGATTTTACACCTGGAGAGATTCCCTTGCGAATTATTAAGACGATTGTGGGTGCAGATATAGTTCTTCTCTCCATCCTCATCCATATCCTGAAGAAGACTCATTTCAAATAGATGTTCGACAGTTCACAGGTCAATGATTTGGAAGAGATGAAGAAAACAACTGATTATTAGTTCTTGTCTATGAGTGGCCTATTCTCTATCTCTTTTTATCTGATCGAAATCCATCAACCTACTATTTATGAAAGGGTAGCTCATTGGCAGACTCTTTTTAGATGATTAGCACTGATGATCGGCTCCATTAATACGACCTGTATTATTGAAAATCCCGTTGATCCTATCAAGTGATATGAAAAGTGTCCGGTGGTCGATACCAACGCAGTTACTTGATATGGAACTGTCCCATGGTTAATTTCAAACCGACTTGAATTAGTAGAATTTATTCAAGATTATAAGAGCAGTTTTACTGGGGTTCTGCTACAAAAATAGTTTCACTACTCTTACACCACTTCAATGACATTGATTGATCGATCTCCTTCATAGGCCTGATACAAGGAAATTTGAATGCAAAGACATATTTTTACATTTTCGAGATTGATTTTCTGATAAAAGACATGTTATTTGAGTTTTTTCATTTGTTCATAAAACTTCCGTAACAGTTTTCAGTATTAAAACTAAAGAAAGAGATAGCTAATTCTTGATTGCATGGATTCTGTTTTAGTGAGACATGAATGTTAATTAGTGTTGAAATAGGTAACAAGAGAAGTGAATCATCTTCTCTCATGCCACAAACCGTGACAAGGATGCCAATGGCTTTTTGGTTCTTTTACAGACCGTAATATAGATTTTGAGTTGCTTTTTTTTAAGATTCCACCAAAGACCGGGATTGACATACGGAAAAAGCATTTTCAGACTCATACAGACAAAGTAGACAGCTTAGAACATTATCGATTTTTTTATCGACTGTATTGCACTTTTGTGGATTATGATTCTTAAAAAGTGTCGAACTACACAGTGAGAAAAGCGAACCAATCATGCCCGGATTTCTGGCCAAAAGTTTAGCAGATTAGTCCATGAACTTAGTACCATGATTTCTTTGAATACCATCTTAATCATTTATTCACATTAAAATGAAGTAGATTGTTCATTCGCTTGTTTCTAGCTTTTCCCTTGCTTCATCCAACATACATCGAATAATTGGTATCGATGGATGATTCGATTGTAAATTTCTTGATCGAATCTCGAATGATTTTTCAAAGTATTGTATTGCTGTTGCTTCATCGTCAGCCATTTTATATACAAGTTCAATATTATCGTAAATTTGTGCAAAGTAATTGTGATCTTTTGATAACGATTTAAAGCAATTGTCCAGTGCTAGATTATAGTTTTTTAATGCATTTCCGTAATGTTTCAGATTGAAATACATTAGATCAATATTATTGAATAACACTGCAAGTTCAGAATGATCATGGGTCAAACGAGCTAATTTAATTTCAAGTGTTTTCTCAAACATTGTTAAAGCTGAACTAAAATTTCCCATCTTTTTGAGAGTCGAACCGAAATTGAAATAACTTGTAGACAATTCTTCTTGATTTACTGTCGAGGATTTTAGCAAAATATCTAGAGCTTTTTGATGATTTTCGACAGCAGCTGTATAATTTCGTTGACCATCATATACAATAGCTATGTTACCATACGTCATTGCCACATGATAATGATCTTCTGAAAAATGTTTAACTTCAATTTCGAGCGCTTTCAAGTAGCAATCAATAGCTAAACTATAATCACCAGTCTCATTATAAATATTAGCCATATTATTATATGTCAATGCAATGTTAACATGATCAGGTATTAATGCTACTGAACAAATATCCAGTGCTGACTGATACATTTTCAATGCAAGAATATAATCATCATTTTCCTTGTAAATAACTCCCATATTATTATAAGCACTGGCTAATGATGGATGACTAGGAGTTAACGTTTTCAGCTGTATATCTAGTTTTCTTTTAAACATTTCCAATGCCTTTTCACTGTCACCAATGTCTCTGAATGTTGAACCCAAATTCCCGTATGTTATAGCTAAACTAGGATGATATGTTGGTAAAAGGCTGAAAACCTGGAGGGATTTTTTTATGATTAACCATTGCATTTTCATAATCACCTAGTTGATGATAAGTGACAGCAATATTACTATAGGTAGTACCTAATGAAAGATCATCATTGATTGTTTTTTTGACATCTAATGTTTTTTTTGTAATATATTAATACTTTATCGAAATAACCTAAGTCATCATAAACAGATGCTATATTATCATAAATTTTCGATAAAATGGCATTGTCTAGTGCAGAATATTGAGAAAATATTTCGAGTGCTTTTTCGTATTGTTCCAAAGCTAACTGATAATTGCATTTCCGATGATATAATAAACCTAATTGATTATAAATAGTTGCATATTGAGGAAAATTCGATGAAGGAATTTCTTTTAGAAGACGAATGTAATATGTCTCTGCTTTATCAAAATCTCCCATCTGAATAAGAAATGAGCCTAAACGTAAAAATATCAGTAGTTTCATGAATTTGTTTCTTTAAATAATCAGATACTTCTTTGAGTTGTTCGTCTTGATCACTACATAATACCATTTTGGCATGCCATACAGAAGTACCAGTTAACTTTTCAACACTCTCTATTCGAAATGTAGATCATATAAAGAATAGAATTTCATCTTCATCTTTAAAATAACTCAGATGTTTAATATTAGCAAACGGTGTTTTTCTGTTTACATTTATATTGACGATCATTTCAAATAAAACAGACTCGATAACAGGTGTGCCAGAACCATCACCAGCATCAACAACAGCAACATCTCGATCGATAGTTGTTGATAAAAATGTATTAAACGATATTAATCCATTGACACATTGTTTGAGTTTTTGCAATTTGTCGAAAGCAATACTTTGTCCACGATAGAGAGAAAATGTTTCAATGCCACATTCGATTATCTCTTTTGTATAAACGTCGGATGCATCTTTCAATTGATGAAAAAGTTCTTTAATAAAAAATCGAAACTTAAATATATCTATATTTTCTGTTCGAAGTGCTTTATTTAATAAACGATAAAGAAAACAATCTCGTGTATACCACCATATAGCTTCCGTTTCATTGTAGTTATTTTGAAAATCTCCAATCTTTGGTTGTTCTGTTATATCATCTTCATATTGAGAGAAGCATTCATGTATCATTTCTTTTTTTGCAATATCCATTTGATCCATTTTTAATAAAATTTCAATTAATAGCGGAAATCACATAAATGATGCATGTTCTTTAGTTAAATCACGGATAGATTTAATTATATCTTTTTCCAACAAAGATATTGAAATTGTATTATGAGTGTGTTTAGCTATATCGACAACTAATTTCGATACAAGACGTTTTTTATCAATAAAGACGCCTGCAACTTTAGAATAATTTTGAAACCAATCATCATCTAATTTACTAAGTATATAAATCGATGCCATTTGACACAATTCATGAATATGTGGAATAACTATTTTACCAAATGTTTCGGATGTAAGAAAAAATATATTATCCGTTCGTTGAGATGTAATAAAATCAACGCAATCATTCGTATCACTAAATGTTCGTAAATATTGAATTACATACCGCAAATGTTGTCTAGTATCAAAATAATCAGTTGTTTTATCTTGATTTTCATCGAGCCATACAATAATAAAATCTTCACTATTTATCATGGCTTTTTTCTATGAAGTCTCACTTTAGTCACATGTATCTATAATATTTATTACGATGATCATGATTTCTAAGATAATTGTGTTCATAAATAAATTTAAAAAAATCAGTAACTGATACGAGGAATGAAAACAAAGTCCTCGAATTGATGATCTTAAGATAAAGTGAATTCAAATTCGTACTCTTTTTAAAGAAGAAACTAGTTTTAGTAGTTTTGACCTATCAAATAGAAAATTTGATGCTGGATTCTTTTCATCGTATTTCACAATTAGCAGAGGTTATACAGAGACGCAACATTTGCTGTATATTTTATTGTAGTGATTCGATTACAATAATTTACAAGCTTCTACTATACCAGCAACTAAGTAACTTGTAAAATACTGATAAAGTAAAGAAAAATTGTCTTTTCCTAACGTGAAGTACATGTGTTCGTGGAAGATCAAGTAACGCATACCAACATTAACCCTTAGAAAAATGTTTATAGCAGTCAATAGCAAAAATTCGCTACCATTTTAATATTCTTCTGAGCGAAATGTGCTAAGCGATAGTAAAACAGCAATAAAATCATGTACTGAGAATAGAATGTTTCAGATTTTTAAAGTGGCGGCTAGTATTTTCTGAGTTTGCAAAATACAAAGCTTTATAATTTTGAACAATATTATAAATTCGTATCCAAAGATTTAATTATGTCAGCAGTAGTTTGTAGGTATCTACTATCAGTCAAGTAGCAGAACCGAATTCGCGGCTAAAATACCACTCATCGCGCCACAGAAGTAACGAACAAATGACGTGGAAATTGTTTTTTATAGATTTGCTCTTATAGTAATTGACGGAAAATTGAAAACTCTATCCGATAAGAATTATTCGAAATGAAAGTAATTTTGTTGCGCAAATTTATTATCAGGCTACCTCACCGTATGGACAATTTTTAAGACAATACGGCATTAAGGATACTCTTGTGACTCATTTTGATCTTAGAAGTAATTAAATCGAACTGAAATTAATACCACAAAACTCTTCATTAAATCCTGCACGGAATAATATGTAAATTTAACAATTCCAAGGGCAAGTTTTTCTCGTTTAGAATGATGATGTACGGTGATCACTTCAATGTGTGCTCTTTCATGTGATATCTAATATTAATCAATAGAAGGAAACTACTGAATCTAAAAGATTCTTAAGCGAAGCTAATAATTATAATCAAAATCTTCACTTGCTGTCAGATAATGCTCATCTCCAAGATGCTAGACAAACTTTAGTGCAGTTTAAATTTCAAGTGGTATCGACTAAATCGATGCAGCAACTAACATGTAGGAATATCGCTGTGAATCTCATGTTGTAGAGGAATATACCCAAATCTTCAACGTCCTCGCACCCATTCTCTATCACGTTAGCTAAATTATATAAATCTCAAGATCATTGTTCGCTGCAGAAATCTAGAGTTCATGCATACTAAGACAACCTACCATGGCTGGTGTTCGTGATATTGAAATATAGTTACTTAACTATGGTTGCTAATGAGTTTTAGCTTCGAGACAAAGCATAACAACTTGATTCCAGCAAAAAAAGTACTTCTCTAGATCAGCAATAGTATAGCACCGACATTCTTTGACGTCTCTTGTCAATTACAACAACTACGTAGCACATTGCGTGTCGTTGATCAGTAGAAGAACTTCAAAAACAAAAATTATTATAAACGAAAAGGATGAACTCACAAGAAGTCAATAACAACAACTAGAAGAAAGTCAACAAAACACATACACATGCCATGTGTGATCGAACGACGTACATGAAAGAGGAAGAGAAAAACGAATAATCAAGAAAGCAGACAAGTGAGCATTTTAGGGTGACATCTTTTGACTCTGATTGTTGGACATTAGTGATTTTCGCTAGTTTTTTTTTCAAAAGGTCGGTTATCATGCCTCAGTATATCCATAATACTGCATATCGATCAAAATAAACAACTAATTTCTGACGATCATCCACAAGCGTTCAAATGACAATAAGTTCGCGACGACTATTTTGTAAGAAGTTACAAGACAAATATTCGCATTCATACTCGATCTCATGCAAGGACGCATAGAGCATATCAATGGAGAAAAATCATTTATTATTTCTTTGACAATAAAAGTCGAATATTTCTTGGTCTCACGGCCGCAAAATCGACGATAGATATGACTTTCCTCGAAACGACAAGTTTCTTTCATACTCGAACTCTATAGTAACCTTTGTGATATGACCGTGATCATGCAATTTAGCATATGATATTTGGAAAACAGATCGATGCGACTCATAAAACATTAAAAAATCCATAAAGGATGCTCATCCGAAAAGGGTGTTACTCCAATGAATTAACTACCCTAGCGAATATCCACCAATTGAGCTCATATTGGGCTCACAAGAACATATTGGTGATATTAGCAAAAGCATACGAGTATTGATCTTCATTGGTCCTTTGGTGCCGAGTTGTGATTATGGACAGAGACGGAATCGGTTCGATTTGACTTGAAGAAAATGAGAAGCAACTTTATACCTATTATCAATATTATGTCATTACAAGAGACAAAATAATTATTAGATGAAATTAATAATGCCATTCATGCACATTTTGTAAAGTACAACTTGTGAAACATGATCTAAAAGAAGTGTTGAAATATACAGGCAGAAACTTGAACCCTCTTCCGGCACAGAACATGCAGACGTTCTCCAGTGACCACCGCAGGCCGTCAGATACGTTGTCTATATATGAGCACAGACCGTATATTAGCAGCTCCTTATTGCATTATGAAAGATTAAGTAAAAGAAACGTTAGAAAACATGTCGAATAGTACACAGAATAAAACAATTTATCTGCATGCTATTAGGGTGTGAGTATCGGTTACTGAAAAAAAAACATCCACACCTGGTATTAGCTGACATGCTGAGTGTAAGGTATTTTTCACTCCGAGCGCAACATTCTTCTTTTGATATTTTTCTAGCATGCTATAGAGTTAAAAAGTAACACAACATATATATGTTAAAATCAGCTTGAAACTCTTTGATTTTGAAGGATGGCAGTCGATTCATTTTTCAAAAGAACCTTCTTGAATCGATTCGTTTGACTCATGTTTGGAAATATATAGAATGTAAATAACTAACTTTTTTTAGTTTCCGGTACTCTACTTCAGGCTCTACTTGACAAAAAATTGGATGACCCAATGCCGAGCTAGCCAAGTCAACGTTTTGGTGGAAATCGGAGTCACAAAAAGTTGATCATGATTAACTTTTCTACAAAACAATATTAGAGGTTAAAATTTGGGTTTAGTAATTTCAGAAGTTGGTCTTTCGAATATGACGAAGAATATTTAAAAAATTGATAAATCTATATACTCGATTGATCTATGGGTTTTCTCTTAACAATAGAAGAATACAAGTGACGGCGGTTCTGTTGAGTATGAAGTTCGTTTTTCCTCTGTCGACAGCTTTTCCTGGTGAATTTTATTTCAATATCTTCAGTTCAACGACGGAGTATATCATTCTTTTAAGCACCACATGGTTGTTTTCCATTACAGCCGTATCCTCCAACTCCATCGCAACCATAAACAACAAATGTTTGCTCTTGATATTGCCATTCATAACTACCACCCATACCTTCAATTTCATATTCACAACAACCATATCCCGAAAATTTCATATCAACACGTTGTGGTTTATTCCAATTCTCTTTTGTAAAAACAATTTTGGGATTGCCATTAACTGTGAATTTTGCACATTCTGTACCATTGTAATACCAACTTGGTTTTGGTTTAAAATTGATTGCTACCATGTCACCCAGTGAATGAACAGGCGGTGTTTGTAATATCAACGTGAAATTATCAAGGCCACCATCTGGTGTAACAACAAAACCACGCACTGGTGATTTTGAATAACCTAGGCCATGGAAAAAAATACTAATAAAAGACATACAACGAATACAATAGAAAACTACCGTTATTAGCATTGCCACATACTGATGGCCATTGTGCAGGCAAATCAAACAGTGGTTCAACTTCCGATGGAATGCCATTTATAAATGATAAGTAAATGACCGATGTATATCTACGAAGTTGAGAAGGAAGACATTTTTTATTAGAAACCCATGAGAGGGCTCAATTTTTTCAGTTGGATTGGAGGCTCGAAACGCTAATTCCATAAGTTATCTATAAAGCTAGGCAAATGACAACGGCTGATAAGTGACTCATCTAAGAAAAATCAAAGCATTGTAACTACAACAAATTTGTAGATCCCCTGGGACCCTTTGCGGCACAAGAACTCAGCAGAACATATCAAGAAGGTATTTAAAATTCTGAGATCAATCTTTCGATCAACAATGTTTTCTCCATATTGTTGAATGTTTTTTTGATCTAAAAAATATTAAAAATTCCAAAACCATTCTGATAGCCTCCAGAGAACAACATATGTCATATTTTCTAGTGACTCGAATCTAACCTAATCGACATGTGTCTTAGCCAGAAGTTGTGGGTGCCAGTTTCTGTTTCCAGAAACGAAGCACCCCGCGGGTTCCGATGCCATGACAGGTTATTAAGGATAAACAGAAAAACATCAATATGCTCAGATATGCATGAAAACAGTTTTAACATGAGATTTTTTTTCTGAAAGTAGAAACTGGAAAGAGAAACTATTACACCCATAGTCAGAAATGTAGTCACTCTACTTCTGACTAAGAAAATTTGATTTCAATAGTCAATTTTTGTAAGTGCTTCAAGATCACCGAGCTCTGATCCATCTGATAGACTAAATTTCTGAATTAGATCCAACGTTTGATAATCACTTACTCATCACTATCATAAAGACTAGCTGCTGCTCTTGCTTGTATTGTCTTAACTGGTGTACCGTCATTGGTTTCAAAATAACTTAAACATGGTACTTTACCAATACCACTTGTTTTTAGATCACATATATCAGATGAATCATATCTCTACAGATCAACAGCAATGTCTGACCCTGAAAGAGCAATGTATTTGTTAAAGAGACTTACAAGTGCATTAATTTGTAACTCTGGAATCCATTCAACACCTTTATAAACTAAATTATCGGGTAATGGAAACCATGGTTTCATGTCAATATCGCCTCCAGCAGTTATCCATGAATATGGAAATGCACCAAAATCTTTTATTGGAAGAGTATTATACCAACAGTTACCCTTAACAAAACAAAGTTGCTTTTATGTTCTAACAATGGAGAGCTTACTTTGGTTACTTCTGGATAATCAGGATTGAAATTAAACAATGTATAACCTTCTGCTGCTGGCTAAAACAAAGAAGAAAATTATCTGATTAATGACTCCTTCTTGAATTATTTTTGAAATAAAAAAAAAATAGCGACCTACTAAGTTTTCTGTTTTAATAAAATATTTTTTAGGACATCGAACTGTGATAAGTACGTCTTCGAAAAACACGATATGTACTAGCTTCATCGTTTTCTTTATACCCAGTGTTACTTACTGATCCATGTTCAGCTCCATTTGGTTTATATTGTATCATATATGTTTCATTTTGTTTAGCGCTCCAACCTTTTATGTCAAATCGTGCACGCTGATTAACAAGATCATAAACTAACTGTTCTGGCGCACCGGAATCTTTCCAATGTAAATAGGATGTTTGATTTAATATAGCAACAAATTGTTTTGGAAAACCTTTTGGTTTTTGTTCAGAATGGGATTGACAGTGTTGAATAAGAAGAATGGTTATAGTAATAACGACCAGACAAGCTTGCTGTTGCATGTTTAGTGCATTTTAAGTGGTGTGAGAAATGATTTTACCAATAATTAAAAGGATTAACCTGCATTTAAATAGGCTTTGAAAAAATTTGGCGTACAGAAAGAGAATAGCCTTGAATATAATGGCGCTTTTTTTCTGTTTCTCATGATGAAATTTGTCGATAAAAATAATACTTCTGCTGCATGTGACCTATTCACAATAGCCTTTGCAAGAAAGATAATAGTTTTATATATTATTACGCTTGTCCTTTTTGCCATTTGCAATGGTGAGATTTGTGTACAGGTGGGACACTGCCGATGTATCTGACTCATTCATAGAAACTTTTGAATGCGTGATCATAACGACCAGGGGTATGGATGTGGTGGGTGTGGATGTGAGAATGTGGGTTTTGGGTGTTTATGATGCGAAAAAATAGTCCGACACCCACACCTACATCCTTTACGAAAAGGTGGAAGAGTTAGCAACCTTGATATGTAGGTAAAATGAAAAGTAACATCGACGCTCATTCGTCGTTTTATGATAGCATTTTAAGTTGAAGAAACGCTCTATAAATGAAGAAAAAAAGATGCACTTAAATGAATCACAAATAGTAAATCGACGTGTTGAAACCTATCAAAATAAAAAAGTAACGTATTCAAATACAAAAAAATAATGTGTTTTTCTAGACGTTGTTGTTGAAATGTTGTACAGTATGCAAAATTGTTTTTTCATGGATTAGCTTTCGAAAGATCAACAGTTAATGTCCGATTTACGAACCATTTTTCTAAAGTCGGCTTCACGTTTTGTATCCATTGAATATTTGCACGGATGCGTTCGAATAATGATTGAAATTCGATTTCGGCGGTTCCCTACAAAATTTAACGTATTACATATTTACTTCCAAATAGACCAAGTGAATATATTGTGATAAAAAATATCGATCAACACTGCTGTGAGATTTTTTCAAGTTTTCCTTTCAGCTAGAAGCCGCGTATATTAATAAATTTGATTCGATGAATATCCCACTCGTGATAAGACCGTTAAATAACTTTCGAAGTTTTTGATGAAATATTTACGCATTAAAATAATTTTATCAAACTACTATTTTAATTTTTAATTTCAATTCACATCAACTCTTCGTCGCATTTTGTTCCCTTATCTTGATGAAAAGATTAAAAGCTATCTGTATCAGAAACAGAATGATATCAAGAAAAGAATAGGGCTCTCATTATTTGCAATGATTAATAAACTAGTAGAACTATTACAGTTACCATCAATATTTTCAACCTAGAGAAGTAATATCTGTTGTCATTTGGAAATTTTGTAACTATCCTAATGGCACATTGAAGTGTGATTGATACGCTACAATTGTATAAAATATACGCTTCAAAGAACGATTAATCCTGTAGAGTTCATTCCTCTTAATAATCTTTCGAAATAAGAAGAAAAGAAATGTTTGTAGATCAATCAAAATTCAATTGCTATACAATATATTTGTAATTTTTTTCAAATATGAATACAGATTTCAAGTCGCTCTCAGCTAATGTGAATTCTGGAATATTGTATACCAATTGGTTTTGATTCATCAATATAAATATCAAATTCAAAATAGCTAAATATGTCTAGATGAAACTTTGATACTAAGCAACGGGTTGTCCCAGAAATAATGAGTCTTCCAGTATTTTGATGATATCTATGTCAGTTTTCAATCGTTCGAACTGATTTTTTATGAAACCGTCCCTCATTAAATTCTCTATAAAGCTGTATACAACTGCGAATTTCGCATTAAAGACTGTAAGACTCCAAAATGATGCATTTCGTAACGATAATTTTTCAAAGAACTAATTACCTTTTCTAGCTGAGATGGCAAGCGTTTAATTGGTATCATCATTGTTTTTCAATACTCTAAAGTATATTTGCTTGTATCAATTTTAGTGAAGGTCATCTGAACAGGCTAGCGATACACAAGTGATGTCATTTCATACATAATTAGATGAAATCAGTAAAGCTTTTGCTCTCATCCCGTATTAAAATGTATACCAGACCGTTGTGTAGGTCTGATAGGCAAATAATTTGTCTTGAAAATAACAAGAATGCTTAATCATAAACAGTTAATTTAGGACTTCAACATAGTGACACCAAAGTCATGGCACAAAATCAAAATATGTACAAAAGAAAAAAGAAAGTTTTACCGCACGAAAGTTAAAGTGTTGAATAGAATGTTGAGCAGTCACGTAGAAAAAGCTTTTCAAGAATTTCAAAATGGCTTATTACGTTTCTTTGAATCTCGCACATTTCACAAGCAAAATGAAAACCACTGAGAAAACAATGTTACAAAATTTATCGTTTTAGGATCTTACAGTCCTTTTTTTGTATTTGAGATCACTGTAGCGATTACACCCTGGCAGTACAAGTATAAAAACACAACAAGAAATGAAAAGGAAAAGGGACAAAGGAAGAAATAAATAGGAAGTCAAGGTGTTAGCCAGCTACATCGGGGGTGGAGTATATCTCTATACTAATATGGATGAAAATAAGGCAAAAATCTCGGGAGGAAAAGAGTGGAATTGAGTCCCAGAGTATCGAAGAACTTTTCGAGAATCAGAATATCTGATATGTCACAGTCAATTATTGAACAAGGTGAACAGTTAAAAGCGCGCTATTGTATACATTTTACGAGAGTTTATATGTGTTCAATAAATCTTTTTGATCTATGTAGTTCTTTAATGGAGAATTCGGATTGTAGTCAAACTACTCTTACTACATTGTAATTAGTTTGTTCTATTATGAGTTCTTCGTCAATAGAATCTGATAACGCCGTTAGATATCGATTCTAATGCATGAGACATCTATCCTTCAGAAAGATTATCTGACCATTGACGGCAATGCATTACCTTTTTCAGCAAGGTATTGTAGAAATGAGAGCGATCATTACGTTGTTTATTGTGTAAAAAATGGAGACAAAACAAATAAACACGTAAACCGGGGTAAAACATATGATGAAAAAAAGATACTTCTCAATGTTGTAGCTGTAGTTCTAGCTATTTTGAACGAATTTACTTTAGCTACTATCTGATCTTACAGTGTTTAATTAAAAATTCGTAGTTGCTACATTGTATATTAAAGCCTTGTATACAGTTTTTGTAGAGAATTGAATGAGGAATTGTTTCATAAAAAATTCATTTCGAACAATTGAAAATTGACATAGATATCATCAAAATACTGACAGGCTCATTATTTCTGGAACATCCACTATTTTGTACAGTTTTATATGATCAATATTTCTTTTAGCAAAACAAAGAATACTGCTAATATTTTGCTACAATTGATCGATGACATCAGAATTACCCAAAGAATGAAACTTCTCTAAATTCGAACATTCTTTATGTGAATGACGACTTTAAATGGTTTGATTATTTAAAAGGCACAATCAGAACATTAATCTTACTTTATTTCTTATCTGTTCAATGAATAATTCAAGTTCATTCAGTTGTTGTTCAGTATTAAATTTTTCTGTAAAATCTTGGATAAATCGAATAAAATCAGATTGATCAAAATTTTGCAATAAATTGTTCCATTTTGAACGTGCATATGACCAACAGTCAGTAATAGCTATTGGATTACGACAAATCAATTTTATTCCAGAAAAAATATTTTCTCGTCGAACAATATTTATTTCAGGATTAGAATGAATTTCTAGTAAATATCGAATTAATTGAATATCTTGTGTACATGTTAGAGCGGATAGTAGTCTTGAACTTTCTTCTGAATCATTTGTTATTTGATATTGATGAAATAGAAATTGAAATACATCACGATTACCTAAACGTATATTTGTACAATAGACCATTTCACGATGATTTATTTCAATTGTATTGTTCGATGAATGATCGAACCATTCTTGAAAAAGTTGTCGAGCATGAGCCGTACAATTTTCTAAATTATGTTGACAAGCAGCGGATAAAATTACATCTCGGTAAATCGTATCGATCCATTTATGAGCTTCTGATTGATTTTTCCAATCAACATAAGTATAAATTGGTCGGATAAGATCAATCAGATAAGAACTCAATTGCTCATGAAAATTAAAATTTGAATAACTCGTTACAATCATTTGTTCAATGTAGTTAATACCTGCAAGAATACGATCCCAAACAATAAATGCTCGCTCTGCATAAGCATAACTAAGCATATCGAGGACAAGTGATGACGGTAGAATATCTATGAAAATAGGTATAAGAATTTAAAATGTTTATTTAATTAACGATAACACTTACTTATTCGAGCTAAATTGAATATATCATCAATAAGACCTGCTCGTTCGAATATTGTGAAATTTTCATGACCGTTTTTGAGTTGTTCAATAATCATTTGCCAATTGCGTATGTCGTAGTTTGTACGAAAGAAACCTAGCAAATTTGGATTGGCTAAAATCCATTCATTCGACTGAATACTGGTGCTGATTGTTATATTGATTTGTTTCTCATTAAACCATATAATATTTGATGAAGATGATGATAATGATTTGTATTGAAATGGAATGTACCATTTATAATCATAAGGAGATTTTGGTGGTTGTGCTTCGATATCGAACAAGAAATGATGTTGAGTAATTGAAATAATATTTCTTGAATAATCGCGTATTACTTCTACATAAGGATAGCCCATTTGATCAATCCATGTATTCATTATATCACTGAGACTAGTATTTTTTGGTAACATAATATGATCTGCAATCATTTGTTCATTAAAAAATTGCCAAAGATCTCGTGTTTCTACTGTTGAAAAAAGATGCTTTCTGAGATATTGTGAAATACCTTGATTAAACGTATTTTCCGTCATAAAATTTTGCATCATACGAACTAATGAAGAACCTTTCAAATAAGTAATAGAATTGTAAATTTTCAATGTTTGGTCATTATGTGTTATTTGCATTCTAATTGGATGTGAAAATGAAATGGCATCATCTTGCATAATAGGAAGCCATTCTTGAGCGATTTGTTGTTCATATGTATCCCAATCAGGATTAACTTTGTTTGTAGCAACAAATCCCATCCATTCAGTAAACGCCTCATTGAGCCATATATCGTTCCACCAATTAGGTGTGACCATATTACCTAACCATTGATGAGATATCTAAAAAGTAAGTGAAAATGAAGAAAAAGAAAGACAAAGTATATGGTGCGGGCAATTTAAAAGTTGTGGAGAAAATACTTTTCACATTTTTTTTGTCATGCGTGAATAAAGCTTGTTGAGTTACCTACGCAAAAATGTTATTTTTGACATACTTTCATACGATAGTTTTTATATTGAAACTTATACGCAAAAAAGAATCAAATCACAATAATACCTTCACTAGAAACGTGGAACTCACGTAATTTACATCAGCTAGTAGAATACTTATCGATTATAAAAGCAGTTCCTACCAGAGATGTCCATAGTGACGGTGCCGCTACCGTCTGCAGAGCCGCTATTACTTTGACGTTGGCATGGCGATGGCAGGTTCTTTTTAGGAGACATTGCAAAGCTTCCTAGATTTGCGCAGAATTCAGATGTTCATAAAGCGCAACACTCAGAGACTAGGAAAACATCATGAATTCATATCATCAGTTCTAATTTTGTGCAGTGATGGCTCGGATTATCGAAAGATTTTTTTTGAAAACCAATACGGCAGAAGCAGTTTCTCAGCCGCAATGGATATCTATGGTTCCTACGGTCTGTAATGATGAGCAGTGGTACGACACAGCGGATAGAAAAAAGATCAGGGGTGCAAGAGTACTTCCTACAATTACTGTAACTAAGAACTTGGTATTTTGTGTAATTATGTTTTTCAATTGATGTTCATTATCTGTGCTTATTTAGCCTCTTTTACGCGTAAGATTTCTGAGAAATAGACTTTGTACTGAATTTTGCAACAAAGTTTTGTACGAGTCAGGTCACGTTGAAAGTTGACTTTTGGGTTTTGCCTTGTAACTTTCCACAAGTGATGTTCTTACGTTAGTGGAACTATTTCATTCTGAAAGTTTCAGCATTTTTCGTTGCTTCTGTCATGAGATACTAATAAAAGCATAACATTTGCTACATGACACAGCAGAATTTTGAATATCTATATCTCACGATAGAAACAATGAAAAGGGCTGAAATTTACAGAATAAACTAGTTTCACTAAAAACAATATTTGTGCAAAGTTTCATATCAAAACTCAAAATTCCACTTGCAACGTGAGCTGAAGGGAATTGTAAGATTTTATTGGAAAATCCAGCAAATATTCGATATCATGAGAGTGAATGCTTGAAAAACAGAATTATCCTTAATCTTTTCATAGTTCATCAGTACTCATCGAATGAATATAGTCTAGATCTGAAGCCTAGTCAACACCTAGAGAGGTTTCAAGGTAGTATATCAACGTTTCCCGACGAGAACTCCATAATTAGAAGCAATCTATAGATGACGTTTATACATAAACAATCAACATTGAAGTTTAAAAATGTATCTGTTTAAGGTTGTATTGTCTGTGGAAACTTAATCGATCTGAAAGATGGGTGATAATTATTATAGAAGCCATTCAGAATGAGTCTACGTCGAGTGTTATATTTGGAACGCGGCATCTCAATAAGGATTTAGGCGCACATCTACCTAAGATGGATAATGACATGTTCTATCAGATAAAAAATTCAAATAAAACTCCAGGAAACACAAAACGTTATTTACTAGTCATTATTTTTTAATAAATTACGAGCAGATTTTTGGTTCTATTATAGCAGAAGAACCTTTAGACAGTTCGAAAGATCTGTATTATGGAGTAAACATATAATGCTGAAACAATGCATAATATTTAATGGATATGATGAGATCTTTCATTGGAAACATAAACTTTACCTCGATAGATTCTTCGAAAATATATGTTAGTTTCACAAAATAAACATGTATTTTGAAAAATAATTTTTGATTATTATCTCTATAAGAAACAAATATCATAATCAGAACCAGTACAAAAACCCGCATCGAATTTAATTTTCGTTCAATTTCGACGTGCATGCGAAGCACGAGTCAGAATACTCGAAGATAATACTGAGAGAGTGTAAAGACTAAGCTTTGATGAAAATTACATTCAAGTATGAAGTACATTATTCAATGTAGATATTTATTTTGATTGTGAATAACATACTTGCTTGTTTCGAAATATGGAATTCTGATAGTCTAAATCATCGACTATATACTCGTATTTAAGGCCTTTTTGTTATCGCATCAGGAACATTTATTTTCTCAACAATCAGATAGTGTTTTGCAGAAAACATGCATTACAGTCAAATCAAAAAGTATTAGGACACTTAAGGTTGTCCCATCCTTCCTCAAAGTCGATTTTAGTCTAGACATACAAATCATATGAAATTTTCAGTTCTCTATCATGACGTTGGGACAAGATATTTATCAAACATGCGTCAAAATAGCCCGTGTGGTAACTCTAAAATTCTTGGTGGACCTTCATTGTATATATGTAATTCTTTTTCCGATTAGAAAGAGTATATTCGGATAGATGATATGACAGAATCATTTTTTTTTTCAGATTCTTACTTTTTAAGGGGAGAAAAGGAATGAAAGTTAAATAATTCAAAAGACTTCGAAAAATCTGGGTTGCTTGAGTTATTTTACTTTCATCCATTTTCTCTGCTTAAAAAGTAACAATTACAAAAAAGATTCTACCATATCCTGCATCCTAACATAATTTCGAGCCACGACCTGGACTGATTTGCCACGTGTTTGGTAAATATCTCTCTCCAACGTCATGATAGAGGGTTAAGAATTTCATATCGTTTGTATGTGCCTGGACCAAAATCGACTTCCAGGAGGGGCGGACTCGCCTTAAGTATCCCAATACTTTTTGTATATGGCGAGTAAAATTAAAAGAAATATTAAGATAGACGCTTATTATAATTCATCGTTTTTACCTCGTGAGCTATGACCATTGTTGTGTCTTGTTTGTTGAGCGGTGTCGATGTTTGATTATTAAATAGCAATATTGCCTCCCTATATATAACACAGCCGAAATTTTCCATACCAGCTAAATAAAAACAAAAATAATCATTGATTAGAAAAAAAAACAGTTTCATAGAGTCCGCCTACAGAAAGAGAACTTTGGTAAAGCAATATGATCACATTTGGTCAAAGGATAATTGATTTGAAATTGTTCTTCAAAATCATGAATATTTTTCGTTGCTATATCAAGAGCATAATGTAAATCATCCTTTCTGTCTGGTTGTGCACATACACTCGTTGTGATATTTCTATAAAGACCTGTGTCATTACGAGTCAAGCATTCAAAATCAGCAACAATAAGTGCCAATAAATATGAACTCATCGGTATTGATTTTTGAAAACGTGTCAATATTAATCCATTGCTTAGATAAGTGCGATTTTCTACAGCCATATTGCTCCATACACGATATAGTGGTTCATGTTCTATCATCAATGAAAATGTTGCTTTAAAAGCAGGTTCATCGAAACAAGGTAAAGCTCGTCGTGCTGAAATTGGAGCCATATTTGAAGCTAGAAAATAACGTGTAATTCGGTCAGATGATCGTACATAAGAGCCAAGAAAGAATCCATCTATATCATTGCTCAATTGACCAAGATAATTCAATGTTAGAATTATTTGTGTATTTATTGGTATTATTCGATTGAAAATAATGGTATAAAGATCAGCATCTTGATTGAATATTGTTTCCACTATCGATACTTCACCAATAATTTCAATAGGTTCTCGAATAATAATATAACGCTTGTGTAAAACAATACGATCAGTAGCATTAGTAATATTGATATGAATGTGCACTTGACCGTCGAATACTGAATGGTCAGCATTATCTGTAATGTTTAAATATGGTTTTACGTACAAATCATAATGAAGAGGAACAGCGAACGTTGGAAGACGATGGTTAATCGTAGACGAATCATCTATCGATCGAAGAAATGCAGTAATTGAAGCGATATTTGCTGTATTCCAAGCGATAGCTGCATTGATTTTATCTAATGAAAGTTGAAATTGACGATAGACAGTGCCTATAAAAAGGATGAATGATCGATTCAATGTTTTGAATTACTCCAGAGAAAACCGATTATATTTTTACCTTTATCGGCGATTGAATCGATAAAAGTTGTAAATTCATGTAGTTGCCGAACTGTTACGAATCGATGAGTTACTTCGTCAATAATTCTATCTAAGCCGGAACTGGTCTGTCCCCATTTTGCAAATAACTTTGACCAATTTTCCTGAATCCAAATCCAGGCAATTTGATTACTATCCCGTGAACGAGCTACATTTCCAATTGAACGTGTCATATCTTGTTCACGAATTACAGATCCATCTTTCAAATGTTGATTAAGAAACCAAACAGTTTCTGATCGATCTTTTGTACAAGAGAGACCATAAAGTAGAGAAATTGTCTCCGTTGCCAATTGTTCATGCTCTAGACGATTCCATAAAAATTGAAATTCTTCATGAGAACCTTCGCGAATCGCAATACAATAGACTATCGAACGTAAACTAGTTGGTATTCGATTTTGAACGGGATTTAAATACCATCGACGAAACATACTTCGTGCTGTATCAATACACCCATAATAGCCATATTGGCATGCAGTTGCAAGAACTTTGGGTTGAAGAAGTGCTCGACGCCAATCTGTTGATTGATTGATCAGTCCCCAGCCAATACTATTGTATAATGGAAGAATTAATTTGAGAAAATAACGTTGTACTTCAGGAAAAATTTCATTTTCACCAAGTAGATATTCTTGTTCATCCATTGCAGATAGGGCTGCTGTCCATGGAACAAAATCACGTTCATTTATTAGATATCCAATTAATCTATAGGCATCAGTTGCATTGATTAGAAATGTTCGTGATATAGCAAATGTATCACCAATGAGAGCACCTCGATTAATAGATGAAATACGTGTATGATCTGTTTGAAGTTGAGTTATAATTAGATGAAAATTCTTTGGATCATATTTAACTCGATAGAGACCGAAGTAATTCGGATTTGCTATGATCCAATCTGAATCGGACGTTGTTATTGATAATTGTCTTGATTTACTATTAAGCCATACGACTGGATTTTTATTCGACAGCTAAGAAAAACAAAAAAATAAAATGTTTATGCAAAAATTTAACAATTAAATACTTCGAATGATGTTCGATCAAAATATTTGAATGGAATCCACCATGTTTCATTTTTTGATGTCGATGGAAAAAGATTAAATGGTTGCTGAGTAATAATTAATTCACTATTGACTCTTTGTTGTTTTAATTTTTGGTCTATTTTTGTATATATTCGATTAACTTCAACGATTGGATAGCCTGCTTGTCGTGTCCATCCAGCCATTATACGTTCTACATCGATTGTATTATTTGTAGCTTCAGTCAAATATCTCCAAAGATCTTGTTGTGTAGCAGAGCTATAACTAAAATTTTTTAGATAATTTTGAATACCTTGTTGAAAAGTTTCACCACTTAAAAACATGTTCATCATTCTAATGACTGCTGCACCTTTGTCGTAAGTTATTCGATCAAACATAAGAAATATGTCAGCGAGATTTGTCGACTCAATACTAATCGGTCGTGATGTCGGCAATGAATCAGCTTTCATGAATGAAAAGATTTTTTCAATAACAAATAGTTCGTCTTGTTTCCACGAAGGTTCGATAAAATCAGATGCTACTGTTTCCATATAATTAGCAAAACCTTCCTTGAGCCATCTATATATAATACAGATACAAAACGGTTAATAATAGAATAACTATTAAAAACAAAGAACTTACAGTTCTCCCCACCAAGCAGGCGATACTAAATTACCGAACCATTGATGTGCTATTTCATGAGCTATAAGTATAGTTACATATTGTTGTTGTGAAGTCGATCCTGTGTTCTCATCGAAAAGCAAACCAAACTCGGCATAAATTAATAAACCTAAAATCAGAGATTAATAAGTTCATAGTGATGTTTAGGGTCCATTAGTCTGGTATTTTATATGAAATTCAAAAATACTTGCCATAGTTTTCCATGGCACCACCTCCGAAATCAGGTACTGCAAAATGTTCAATTTTAGGCAGTGCATAATCTATATCGAAATATTTATTGAAAAAGTCTAATGCTTTGAAAGCTACTTCATCAGCATAAGCCATTTGTGGTAAAAATTGAATACGACCACATATTCTCGATTTAATATTCTTCGAACCAATGACACGATCAGGTCGACAGGCAAAATCTGATTTTGGTGCTACAATCAAAGCTAAGAGATATGTTGACATGTTTAATGTTGAAGCAAAATAAGAATTAATTCGACCATCAATCAATGTATCCGAATGTTCTAATTCTGCATTCGTCCATACGACATACGCTGGATCATGATTAACCGTAATACGAAATATAGCCTTACGAGCGGGTTCATCAATACATGGAAGAGCACTTCGAGCATGTGTTGGCTCCATTTGAGAAGTCAGAAATGTTCGACTAATTCCATCGGCATCAACATAGTCACTTAAATAGAGACCTTCAAGATCACGCTCAAGTTTAGCCCAATAAACAATATGAAGTGTATAAATTGTTTTCGGTTCAAAATTAGACGAAAACTTCATTATCATGTATTGATTATAATCATCATAGGACCATGAATTAAAGATGGGTATTGAACTAGACGATGAATTGACAATGACTATCGTTGAATTGTCTATATTCAATTCTACCATATGAAGAATTAATTCATTTGTCGATTCAAGGCATGTAAATGTATAGAAAAGATCACCTGGAATTCGAAATGAAAGAAAGCATATAATGATGAAATCTATCACTCATTTTAATCGTTTTCGGCCGACTGTCAGAAGACGAGAAAGGCAGCAAAAGATGATTTTTCGGAACTAACAAGTGATTTTGTACCATATGAGAAAAGGGTTAACAATATACGTTAAGTATTCGATGCCGAAAAATTGGTGAATACTTTCTATTTTAGTAAGAAATATATTATTAACGTATTCTTCTTTCTTTTTTTTTTTTAGACACGATGACGGTTTTTTTTTCTTCGTCTTTTAGGAAAAATTATCATTACCTATGAATGATTCTTCAATCAGATTCGGAATAATCGCCCATTGGTACAATTCTGGTTTCAAATTAGTTCGTATTCGCTCTACAAATCGAGGAGGACTTGATGTAGTAGTCAATGTCATTGTTACGTTGTCATCAGGAGTGATTGTTGATGGTGACGTTGCTTCATAGTACACAATGGTTGTTTTTTGTGAACGAACACCAAAATAGATAGTCAACGAGAGTAAAACTGCGAGACTAATAATGATCAAAGATAAAATGAACCAGGATAGCTTCTTAGATAAATGATAAGTATTCGACTTGACAGTCGTCTCATGCTGACCAACAGATTGCATCGATGCTATATTGGATGCGTTAATATAATGGGTAATATCACTTTTAATCCAAGAACACTGCGTTATATGTTTGAGATTAAAAAAAAACAATGTCTGTCGATTTGGTATCGACAAGGATCTTATTGGTATATTGTTTTTTCTTATGTTTCTAATTGATAAATATCACTAACCTACAATGAAAAAATAAAATAAAAACTTGTCGGTGTGGATATACATATATTAGTCGTGACCTTTTCTATTTCGTGCGGTATTTGAGTGCATCGTCTCTTAAATTCATTAAAGTAAACTCAGTAAACAGTAGTTCAAATATATTTATTGCCTGAAAATAATGTTGAAATCAAACGGTTCTATAACAACAAAAAAGTGTCTCTCTTTTTTTCTAACGTAATTATATCAGTGAATTGATATATAGTTTTAACGTTCTATTTAAATGAATTTAAAGATATGACGGCTTCTGATACTTTAAATCACAATCTCAATTGACTTAGAACAAATAATACTAAAAACAACGAGTTTTCTCATCTCAATGTCTTTATCGTGAAATAATTTATTTTTATGTGCTTCTTCGATAAGAAAATTTTATCTGAAGTATATTGTTAAACTTTGTGGCAATACAGTGCAAAAGATGGTAATAAACTACTTGATTTATTGCAGAGCATTGACCAATGCAAAATTGCATGATATTATCTACAGAATAGAAGTAGAGAAAAAATGAAATAAAATATGCTCAACTTTGATGCATAACCCATGTATTCAGGTAGTCCAAGCAAAATCAGTGGATGCAGATGGAAGCCAAGATTTCTCCATCATCGTGATAAATATACTGGCATCTTAGCATTAATAGAAAAGATAAACAGCTCATATTTGATTTGGTTCTATTCATTCAACACAGCTTATTCATTTACAAGATGATTAAAAGAAGTGTTGCTGATATTCCGTTATATTGCTGTAGATTTGTTTTTTTCTTCTTCTAGTGATGTCTACTTTCAATATATTCAATCCTACATTATTACTTTTTGCTCTTTCTGTCACAAGAGAATCTTCACGAATTTGAATGCTTATATACATCGAAACACAAATACAATAATTTCAATAGATTTTTGACAAGTCGATGATTAAATCAATGAGCAACAGATCCTTGAGGTGATTAGAGTGAATCATCTAACAAATATCTTTCATACTCGACTAATGATGAGTTTCTTGCAGAGCTGGGCAAGTCAAGTCAAAAATGCCTCAAGTCAAGTCAAGTCAAGTCAAGTCTGACTTGACTTGACTTGACTTGGTCGAAAAAAATTTTGGGTTGTGACTTGACTTGACTTGACTTGAAAGTTTTTTTAGTGACTTGACTTGACTTGTGACTTGAGAAGCCTCTGACTTGCCCAGTTCTGTTTNGCTTCTTCGTGGAAAGTATCAAACTGTTCCAAGAAAAAGGAGTCATTCACTACCTTTCTATATTCGATCATGAAAAAGTTAAATACACAATTCTTCATTCTTTAAATAATTACTTTTTTGATCATAACAAATTTTTAAAAACTTGTAGAGGGGGCTCAAGCCTCCGTAGAGGGGGCTGAGCCCCCTCTAGCCCTCATCTGGTTACGCCACTACTATCAATGCTTCTCGTGATTATCTATTTATGTACCTAAATTTCGCATAGCTTGAAATTTTAAATAACTTTCTCTAGATATTCTATAAGCATACAATATTCTATAATTGTTAGATTGATAGTGGAAGCTTTTATTTAAACCAGTGGCGTATTGAGTCAACTAGTGACTTGATAGATGCATTTGGTAAGTCAAACAGTACTTGAAGAATGAAAAAAACTCTCCAAGTATTGTTTCATTTATCTCATGGGCTCAGCAAGTCGCTAGTATGCTAGATAAGTCAGTGATTTGAACCGAACAGATTCAACCCGGAGATCTTTGTAAGTATGAGTGTTGATGCAGAAACAGATGAAGTGTCTGCGTTATATATATTCTTTAACATCTCCATTCACACACTTTCATGAACGCCAGAAACTCATTAGAAATATTTCGGCGAAATTAAAATCCGTTGTATGTTTCATAAATCATCTGAGTAGACAGTAAAAACATTCTTTTCTGTGCATACTTACATGTGATTCTGTTCTCATGAAAAAAAAAGTCGACGCATTCACCACAAGCTTTAATTTAGTGTTTGCTTTCGTTTCTGCCGAAGAAGCAAAATAAGTAATGGACGAATAACGCAGCTTATCACCTGTCAACAGTTGTCTTTTTCACGTTTGAAAGAAAAACAGAACACAATCAACACTAAAGAAAAACACAGATGAATCATTCTTCGCTGATAAATATTGATGAAAGAAATCGTCAACAAAGAAAATTTGGAGTGCGAATACCGATGGTATCGGACTGCTGATTGGTGTGCTCCTTATACAAATCTCATTTAATTGCACTCACACTGTACAGGTGATGGGACTGCAGTCGTTTTTCAGAAATGATTTTTTCTCAAAGAATTTACTCGCTTCCTGTGATTCCATTAACTATGATGATACTCCATTATAGTTACACTCATACCCTCACTCGCAACCAGAGCTACATCAACACCTTACATGCATTGTGGAATCGGGTGGGATTAATTCCAAAATCTTTACAAACTTACTAAAACGTTTCAATGAATCCCAAAAAAAAATAAGTCATGATAGCTGCTGTTTTATCGGATGTGAAATTTCTCTAAAATCTTCGAAAGAGTTGATAGAAGCTCAATGTGAGCAAAAATTTATGTTAATTTCATGCGTCGTTGAAACAAATATAAACGAAAAAAAAATTATAAAGATGTGTGATTTTATAGAATACCTACAATGTTTCATGTTGCTTGACAATTCTAAATAATAAAAGTAAATCAGTTTATTTAATTCTAGGAATAATTACTGTAACTTCAGTCTTCGACCCAATATAAATGGAAACAATAAATCCATTTATTTAGTATTACAAATAATCACTAATGAGGAACTTGCTGAACGAAACTTAAACAAAATGAATGGTTTATTGGAATGTGGGTGTGGGTATATGCCCTTTTTGCCACCTCTATTACACCTACACCCACGTTTCAGTTTATTGCATACGAACAACTTGAACGATTGTTCCAGAAAGTCTCAATTTTAGTAAATGGAAGTCTATCTTGCTAAATATATTCAACCGAAAGATGAATGAGAGAAAAGAGACTGTTCTACTCGTATTGGTTTCAGTCAAATTTATAAGTTGGTATTTTTCAGGTGTTGCACAATCTTCTTATCTTAATTTGTTTGCGTCTTGGCCTTCTCATTTACTTCTGTTGACAGAAGTGTTTTCTAGCAACACATGCTGATATAATTATATAAGAAAAGAGTTGGACACATTGAATACTCGTTTTTACCTGAACCAGTATAGTGGTATTTTCAAGACACATCTCAATTTCATTATCGAGCTTTGCATGCACTTGTTGATAATCAACAGTTTGAAAGATTTTTCGAAAAGTATTCAATAATCAGTTGGAAAAAAATCAAAGTAAAATTTTCTAATTCATATGTGATTATTTCCATTTTTTGTTTCAAGTCAACCATATAACTATGAGTTCTATTTTTCGTCTTACTCTACTTTATATTTAACTTATAACGATGAGCATGTAATGTTAGTGTTTTGTATATTGTTTGGTCGAAGTTGTTTAGTCGTTGGATCATTGAAACATGTTCACTAGATTATCACTGAATAATAAACTAATTAGGTACGGATGTGTGTGTGTGCAACTTGCCGCTCAGTTACATCTCAGATCCTTAAAAGGTGTAATATTTTAAGATAATTAAAATAGTAATAAAGAATACAGATTACTTTGAATGTTATTCAACATGTTTTTATGAATAGAATTTAATTAAAGAATAATAGTGCATGACTAGTGGGTATTTAGTCTATAGAAAAAACGTTCAAAGTACATCAAAGGTAAAACTACGTAGAAGAGTAGAAATTCACTATTATTGAATGACTAACAAAATGACATTAAGAGGAAACGATGCATTGTGTGACAGAATAATCAATGAAGTATTAGCACGATTAAAATTTTTAATCGGTCAGAATATAATACATAACAGATGATAAAAGTTACAGGTATCGAACTTTGAAATTATTTAGTGCTAAATTAGTAAAAATGGTCTCTTATAGTTGTAACGAACTCTTTTTGTAACGAGAAGAAGGGTATGGATCTGGTTATCGAAAAACTGAAGAGCTACACCTACACCCACACTATAATGGGATGATTCAAGCATATCGGTCGGAGAAAGAATGAAACTGTCTGTATATTCGGAAGAAGATTGTTGTATTGTCAATGATCGATGAATATTATTAATACTTGTGCAAAAAAACTATCTTATTTTTTTTACTTCTTCCTTGAAACTATGGATGAGAGAAAAACGATAAACATATGCTCAAAATGAAGAACGACAGAAAAGAAAGAGAAGTTTATCAGAGATATACAAATAGAAATTGAATGATACCTGATAATGTCATGGACTCATTTAGTTTTGGTAACCATCTATTTATTCTCATAGGAATATATATTGGATAAAAAAAATAGAAAACAGTTCCACTTTTTCATTCATAGTGTATACTATGATCTCTGAAGAGAAATATATTGTATTAAATATTATAGGCAGAGATCAAGGAAAAAGAGTTTAATTATTATAGTGCTACTATGCATTACTTCTATTTTCATATAATATCTATAAAATGTGCATTAGACTGATGAATTATTGATACAGATTTGTAATTTACTGCTTTAGCATTAATAGTCAGATACGTTAGTTTATTCTTTTCTCAATATCGATTTTCTATATTTCTGTTTTTTTTTTCTACATCAATTAGATATTCACACTATCATCCTGATTTCCAATCAGAGGAATTTCTGCTGATTCTGTAGAAGTATTCGAAATAATATGGCATACTATACATAGTAATAGTCAGATAAACAAGAAATAGATGTATTAATCTTATTTTCAGTACTCTGCATCAACAACATTGATGGGCATGAGTCTATCAAATATATCTTAAACCACACTCGCATATCCACATCCAGATCTCACACTTCACACCCATAGGTTACTAGAAATACTAGAATGTTTATGTAAAACAAAACAATCACTAGCATTAGTAATATTGATGTCAACGTATGCTTGATCATCAAATATTGAACAGTCAAGATTACTCCATTATATTTAGATAATATGTCACGTATAGATCATCTATGAAAAATGTATAGCGAAAGAAGAAGCACATAGATTAATTATCCATCGATCGAATGAATACAGTAATGAAAGCGATACTTGCTGTGGTCCAAACGATAGCTGCATTGATTTTATCGAGTGAAAGTGGAAATTGACGATAGACAATACCTTTAAAAAGAAAAGTGAATGATCAATATAGTCCAAAGGAAACTACTTAACTGTACGTTTATCAATAATTGAATCAGCAAAGATTTGGAATTCATTTCGTTGTCGAACGGTCACAAATCGACTAGTTATTGCATCAATAATATGATTCAAGCCAGGACCTATCTTTTTCCATGATGAGAATAAATTTGACCAATTTTCTTGAATCCTAATTCAAACGAGATCATAAAGATCTCGAGAAAGAGCAACATTTCGAATTGAACGTACTACATCCTGTTCACGTATTACAGACTCGTTGTTCAAATGTTGATTAAGAAATCAAACAATTCGTGATCGATCTTTTGTACATGCAAGACCATCTAATAGATTAACCATCTCACTGGGTACTAATTCATTTTTTGAACGATTCCATAAAAATTGAAATTCTTCTTCGGAGCCTTCTCGAACCACAATGCAATAGATAACTCGACGTAAACTATTTGGTATTAGATTTTGAACAGGATTTAGATACCGTTGACGAAAGAAACTTCGTGCTGTATCAATACATTCAGGATAGCCATAAGAAAAGACAGCAGATAGAACTTTTGGTTGAAGCAACGCTTGACGCCAATCTATTGATTGATTAATCGATGTCCAACCAATACTATTGTACAACGGTAGAATCAATTCGAGAAAATATTGTTGTACTTCAGAAAAAATTTCATTATCCCCAAGTAAATATTCCTGTCGATTCATTGATGATAGTGCTGTTATCCATAGAACCAAATCACGTTCATTTTTTAGATAACCAATTAGTCGATAGGCTTCGGTTGCATTTACTAGCAATATATGTGATAAAGCAAATGTATCATCAATGACAGCACTACGACTAATAGTTGGGATATGCGTGTGATTAGTTTGAAGTTGAGTGATAATCAAATGAAAATTTCCTGAACTATATTTAGTTCGATAGATGCCGAAATAATTTGGATTTGGTAAAATCCAATCTGCATCGGATTTTGTGATTGATACATGTGTTGATGTACTATTAAGTCATATGATTGGATTTTCATTGGATAGCTAAAAGAGACAGGAAAAAATGAAATTTTTTTTATTGAAATTAAGAAATCAACTACTTCAAACGATGTTTGATCGAAATATTTGAATGGAATCCACCCTGCTCCTTATTTTGTTACCGATGAGAATAGATTAAACGGCTGTTGGCTAATTATTAAATCACCATAAAGTTGTTGTTGGTCAGTTTTTGTATATGTTCGTTTAACGTCAACGACAGGATAAGCTGCTTGATCTGTCCATCCAGTCATAATATGTTCTACATCGATCGTATTATTTGTCGCTTGAGTTAAATATTGCCAAAGATCATGTTGAGTTGCCGAATTATAACTGAATTTTTTCAGATAACTTCGAATACCTTGTTGAAAAATTTGATCACCTAAAAACATGTTTATCATTCGAATAAGTACTGCATCTTTGTGATAGGTTATTGCATCAAACATGAGAAATATATCAGCTGGATTTGTTGATTCAACATTAATCGGTCGTGATGTTGGCAACGAATCGGTTTCCATGAATAAAAATATTCTTTCAATAACAAGTAATTCGTCTTGTATCTATTAAGGTTCAATAAAATTTGATCCTACACTTTGCATATAACTAGCAAAATCTTTCTTAAGCCATCTATAGAACACATTTTCAATGTAAAAGAGGCAAAATCAAAACAAATAACTTACAGTTCACTCCACCAACTAGGCAATACTAAATTACCAAACCATTGATGTACTGTTTCATGGATTGCTATTGCAGTAACTGTTTGCTGTTGTAAAGCCGATCCTGTTTTCTCATCAAAACGCAAAGCATTCTCAATATAAATTAATAAAACCTAAAATTAGAGATTGGTTATTTGTTTATGATATTCGAAAACTTACCAAAGTTTTCCATGGCTACATTTTCAAAAGTAGGCACCAGAAAATGTTCAATTTTAGATAATGGATAATCTATATCGAAATATTCATTAAAAAATTCAATATTTAACAGCGACTTCATCAGCATAGCTAATTTCGGTAAAATTTGAATACGTCCACATATTCTCTACTTAATATTCTTCGAACCAACGAGACGATCTGGTCGACAAACAAAATCTGATTTAAATGCTACAATCAAAGTCAATATAAATGTTGACATGTTTCATTGTTGGAGTGAAATGTGATAAAATTCGACCATCCATTAATATTTCTGAACGGTCAAGTTCTCCGTTTGACCATACAGCATATGATGGATCATGTATAACGCTAATGTGAAATATGGCTTTACGTGCAGGTTCATCAATACATGGGAAAACACTTTGACCACATGTTGGTTCCATTTGAGAAGCTAGAAGTGTTCGACTGATCCCATTAACATCAATATAATCACTCAAATATAAACCTCGAAGATTACGATCAAGTCTAGCTGAATAAACAAGATGAACTGTGTAGACAGTTTTCGGTAAAAAATTGAACGTGAAATAAATTACATTATCATGAATTGGTTATAATCATCATAGGACCAGGAATGAAAGATAGGTATTGAACTAGATGACGAATTGATAATGGCTATGGTAAAATTATCTATATTCAAGTCGACCATATGAAGAATTAATTTATTTGTTGATTCAAGACACGTAAATATATAAAAAAGATTACCTACAATTGAGAATGAAAGAAGACTAATGATGATGACATTCATCGCTTAATTTTAAAAAATGAATCAATTATTCGACTTTGAAAAGATCATGACTTGTTTTTCAATTCCATTTCTTTTTCGAAACAACGACTTTACTTTTTACTACAGTCTTTAGCAAAACAAACCTTTACCTATGAATGTTTCTGCAATCAAGCCAGGTGTAATAGTCCATTAGTACGGTTCTAGCTTCAAATTAATCGATATTCGTTCTACAGATCGAGAAGAAGATGGTACGGTAGTCAATTCAGTTGATATTATTGTTCCATTTTGACTATGAGTACTTGTTGATATAGATGAAGTTTCATAATATACAATAGTTTGAGTTTGCGAACGAAGACCAAAATAAATAGTTAATGAGGTTAAAACTATAAGAACAACTATGATTAATGATAAAATGATCATTAAAAGCGTATTTTTATATTTATTACCGGTCAACAATTGTTGCTGTCTATAGACTTTCTGTAGTTTAATAATTTTTTACAATATTATAAAACAAGAAAGATTCGTTCACTCTAAAATTCTTCGTTAAAGCAAAAAGAAACGAGTATACTTATTGAGATTTTTTTTCCGTTGATTTTAACTAATCTCTATAAATATTTATATTGCATTGACATTAAAATAATATTCTCTAGTTGTCATCTATGCTTTCTTGTCAATGACTCGATGCTAGTAAACTACTCTAGGAGCTGCTATTCTCGATTATTATTCAAATTTGCTTCGTTAGTATCCCTAAGACGAAACTTCTTTGAAGAAACCTTACAAGAGTTCTCCAAGAATAACTAATACGTGTTTGATGTTTATTGAAATTTATCTGATAGATATTCTAATCTTCTTTTAAATTATTTGCTTGTGATTCCTTAAACTGTTTCGAAATTTCGAAAAACGAAATTATAGACTTCATCAAATGGAATATGTCTGAATTTCAAATACGAATTTTTCGACATATTTGCATAGGCTTACCTTTTTTGTGAAACACGATCTGAAAGGAGTGTTGAAGTGTTTAGGGGTAGAAATTTGGAGCCAACCCCCCCGCACCCCCCCACCACCCACGCAAGGAGTGTACAGGTGTCTCTGGGGAGAAAGTTCGACCCCCCCCCCCCCCACAGACCGTTACAGACAGGTAATTCCCCCATCATAAACCGTGACAGAGAAGCCGTAGTTGTAAAGCATCAGATTAACGGTTAGCTACAAATGTATCGCAACGTAATGGAAGAAAAGGATTTGCATTTAATTAGTAATAATAGAGCCATCGTGTTTCACATTTTTAATCCCGCAAGGGATTGCGCTAACAGCTTTTTGATAAAAAAATTAATTTTTCATATACAAAGTAGGTGTGCGCATGGATAAAGAGTAAAACAAAACTCATATCAACATTCATGTACAGTTCCATTCATCCATGTTCACACTCATGTTTACCGTGGTTGCTTTATTTTTCTCTATCAATCGATCAATGTTAATTAAATGCATGTGCGAGTTTACAAGAAAGAACTTATTGTACACTTTTAGAAAAATATCAAGACTTATGATCGAGAGATATGAGACTGCATTGTGATAATTTTTTTTTCAGAAAAAATACTAAACAACGACCCAATGAACAATGTCTTCATCGTAAGCTATTGAATTATCGTGTAAAAATAGAACTTAATGGAATAAAAAGTTATGAATACAATCATTTATCAAAAGTATTTCGTCATTCTACATCTGAACATGTAATTCAGTCAATTTTTAATAATTTAAGACATATTACATTAATTGATTGTTCACTAAACAACAAGGGGGAAACAGCAGAATCCATGAATCCATGAATCCGCTTGAATCCACTTGAATCCACTTGAATCCAAGGAACTGGATTCTGCTATTTCCCCCTTGCTAAACAATCTTCAATATCTTCATATAACTATACAGAAATCTAATATGGACAGAAGTATATTTTTTTTTTGTTAAAGATATTCTATCGAAAGGAGTACATAATCTTGATTTTAGTTGGATATCGATTATCTTGAAACATGTAATATATTATCTAATAAATTTTTATTCAATAAAAATACAAATCTCTCCTATTCATTCGATTAATTATGAAATTTAAGATGAACTTCTATTAAACGAATCCTTGATATTTCATGATAATATTGGAAATGCTAAATCTTATTTTATAAACTATTGACAATTTATTCATATTACTTGATAAACTTGTGATTAACTTTTTATCAAAATATTAGCCTTTGATTAGAGTAAAAATATAATGTAGTAATCGGTGTTGATATCCATTAAAATATTTTCCCCATAAATTGAATTTGTCGTCAAACAATTCTTCGCTGAATTCTGTACCGATGTTTGGAAAACTGAAGATAACTGTATTTATCCTCTAATACGATCCAATTCTTGATGAAAGAGATTATTCAAATGATTATTTATCCAACTCATATGTTCTCGATTAACTGATTTTACATTATTTCAATCATCTGTTAGATTTGCTATTGATGATATAAAATTTATTCTTGCTTATATGAAAAATTTAATTAACTTTACTTTAAGTATTCACGATACATTTGATCTATTGTTTTGTCATAGTCCTACTATTTAATCAATTTTGAATAAATGTCGTCCACATCTTAATTAACAAATTTATTCAATGAACAATATATATCACATATTATGGTATGAAAGATCTTAGATGGATACATATTTTTCTTTTGTTTATCATAATCATCAGATACAAATGATAAACGACAGTTACCTATTGTTAGAGTTGGATCAGATTCATCAGTATCATCAAATGTGAAAAAAAACTACATATATGAAAGGTAAGATGATTTTTAAAAATGACGAATTTCCTCTATTGAATACAAAATTTGCTCACGTTTATGAAATAAGAAGTTCTATAGTGATTGATATTAAATTGCCATTTCGTATTTGCAAAGTAATTTTTTCGAGGGAAACACGTTAAATACTATTTTTTTCAACAAATTCAATAATTCGATCTCCTGTTCATCGTTTAATTGTTTAACGTTGTTTACGTGATGAAAAAAGAAACTTGAATAGTTGCTAATCAATTTCCAAAGATTAAATATTTAAAATTAATTAGATCTTCCATCTGATAAATGTTCATTTATTAATTGTTTAAAACATTTTTCTCAATCGAGAAGATAATATTAAGCACTTAAAATTCGTTTTCAACTGAATTAATCTTTTTTTTTAACAAAATTATTTTATACACAGAAACTTATTATTTCAATTGTAAGGCAATTACATGTTTAGTTCATTCGATACAGGGTGTGGATGTGGATCTGATATTCATCTGCACTCACGTCTAGACTGGTTCATACCCTGTTCTCACAATATACAAGAAAGATGACTGAAGGATATGGGTTATGAGTAGGTAAATATTCACACTCACAATCACAAGCAGTAATGAAAAAAAAAAGTTTCCCAATGGTTTTTAATCCATATTTTTTCTGTAAAATTCGATTGTTATTTGAATAGTTCATATTTTTTAGCTTTAGTTATTCAATAATATAAATGTGTTTTCTCATGATCAGAAGCGTTTGATTGCTTTAATTAATTCTTTCATATACATTTTCGAAGGTAGAATAAATAAGAAGAATGTTAACGTTGTCGGAATGAACGACATCAAATATCCAATTAAATAGAGCCAAGGATTTCGAGCAGTTTTCATACATCCAAATAAAAACGAAATAATTAGACGTGGTACACCAATTAGAACAAGTATAGATGGAGAAATAATAAAATGTTTATGTTGTCGAATTTGTTCATATAAAAGTTTTTTGTAGGTTTGTTGTTGTTGAACAGTCGAACGTATACGTGTTGCAAATATAATAATAATTATTGTCGATATAAAATTAAGTGAAAAACGGAATAGAAAAATGAAAAACATTCAAATACCAATCATAGATTTGTAATAAAGATGAAAATTTAGTCATACACCATGTACGTTGTTCGTCTATATCATTAACAAGATAGCGATGTATGGGATCATGAATATGTGAAATAATATTGAACAGAAAAGTAATCCAAATAATCCATTTAGCATTTCGCTTACTTTTGACTTTATTAAAATGTATTTCCTTGAAAAATATTTACTGCTCGTTCAACAGCGACCCAAGCATAAAACCAATCATTACTGCTGAGTAAAAGTCGAAGAAGAAAATCAATAGATATACATTGAAGAGACGTAAATACATGACTTTTTATTGAACCAATTTGTAACATTAAGAGAAACCAGACTTTGACCATAAATATACATAACATAATTATTGATGTGATAGATGATACAAATAAATAGATACCACAGCCAACAGTTCGAGAATTTTCTCTTTGAAAAATTAGAAATGAGAGAAGACTATTTATGATACCTAATATGAATATGAACATAGTTACAAAAAGTACGATTTTGACAACGTATGATTGTCGCGTAATGTCAACATTAGGACGAATTTGATATCCAAATATAGTATCTAATGAAAGAATGGATCCTTTAGTTGAAAATTGACATCTCGAACCATAATAGCAATCTTGACAAACACATACTGCAGATGTTGGACGTTTTCGACTATCTTCAAAGCATTGAACTCCATTTTCACATAAATTATATCCTCGACAATCATAAGTCATATTATGATCGAATTCAAAACAATTACTTCGTCGAAAAGCATCACATAAACATAGATGAATATCATCATAGAAGCAAACGAGATCAAACCGTTTCTGACACGGTATCTGATAGTATTTAATGCGTCGTAATAGATGTCGATGACTAAGATTTTGATTAAATAATTCATGAATAGATAGACATCGATAAGATGGTATAATTTGTGTAGATATAATGGCTGAAACAATGATTTGTTCTCTGAGAATAATTAAATAGTAATTATTGAACATTTCTGCAAAAGCAATATGAAATTGAATTGATGTATAGAGTGTTAGTATATCTTGATCCCATGAAATTTCTTTCTTAAGACTTGATCGAATCGGATGTGTTTGGTTTGAAACTGTGATGAAATGAACAAGTAATTATGATGGAATCATTAATTCATGATGAAATGAAAAATCAATACGAGTTTGACGATGTTCATATTGAATACCAAAATATTCTTCAGAACAAATGCACATAGATTCGCTCATTTGTGTTGATATATAACGCTCATCACCAGGTACGCATTGACCATTATTGATGCAGGGTTTCAATTGACATGAAGATTGATACAGATAACATCGAGAACCGAATTGACCAAGAGGACAAACACAAATGGATCTATCAATACAAAGTGAATTATTTGCACAATCACACTTGTATTCTATGTTACATTGAACACCTAACCACCCTGCTTTACATTGACAGAATTTGTCATTTTTATTATTGATATAATTGTAACATTGATCATGAATACATGGTTTTATACACGTTTGAATTGGTTCAACATCTAAAACGGGTACTATGAGTAGAACCGATAGACGATGAACAGGTAGAAACGAAAATTCAACTGGAAAAATCCAACTAGCTCGATATTTTAATGACAATTTATTGAATGCATGAATTCGAATAAAATAATTTGTTGATATATTTTTTGGTCTAGTTGAATACAATAAGTAAACATTAAATTTCGTATCACAATCTCGAATAGATAAATATTCAATATGGTCATGTGATTGAATAATTTCATTATCATCAATTAGAATTATAACAAAACTAAATACTTGGCGCCAATCTGATGTAGCTCGTATATGAATTGTAAGACTAACACGTTGATTTTGATATTGACATTAGTTACCATAGTAACTCGGTGGACAAAGACAATATGTTTTATTAAGATTATCATTCATTCGAATACGTATCGGAAGTCCACGATTACATTGCCATTTCTCCTCTGGACTAAGATTGACTAATGTATCAGTTCGAACCGATTGTGTTGTTGTTTGAAAAAATGGTTCTGAAGAAACTCGATCCGATATGGATTGTTTTGAATGAATTGGCATGCTACTTAGTTTGAAATAGATCATTTTTGATCGTTTAACACTCTGAAAATTATAACACAAGAAATTTTCGACTTCGTTTCGAAGAGATGATTCCAAAATAAAACAATTCGAAC